CGGCAGGCAGCAGTTTTGCATATCTTTGGTATTATTGGCAATGACAGTATATAGTTAGGGTGTTTAACGTCATACACAACATTCAACTGGCACTATTTAACACGCACACAAAACAACAACAAAAAAAACACACATACTGATATACTAACCATGCTAACTGCATGGTTGCTATGGAGACGTGTATATTTGTGTTACAAGATTTAAGGTTATTGATAACAAGTACAATGCGAAACAGATGATACCAATCAATATATATTCTAAAGATAAATTTTGATTATCTATTCATAATAACGAAATATCAATTTACAATGTAAGCACATTCTCTAAACTATACAGATCAATTAAATTTGACCTCATGGCATCTGTTAATTAGTTGCTAACTCGATAGTCTTGTAGATCAATAATGCCAACCTCCCGTCTGTATATATACCTCAGTTCATATAGGAATCCTCCTCCTCGATCCACTCATCCTCCTGAGTTGAATTTACCAATATATGGTCAGAATTTAGAGGTATTATAAAGAGCTTTTTCCTATAGTATACGAATCCTTGACCGTATATGATATACCCCTCCCAACCTGACGTCTTTCAGCCAGTAATTTACTTCACCTTTGAGATAGAAATTACCAAATTGATTACATAAGAGATCATTTTCTTATCAACGATTCCTTGTCCGCATCACGATCAGCTGCATATGTATGTGAGCATTATAAATAAATACCTTTTTTTTTTCTTTACATAATCGTCAAAGATTTTTCGTGCTGGGGAGATCTAGGACGGACGAATACGAAGGTATTTAAAAGCATTTATTTCTCCTCGTGTAACTAGAAATTGGTTTATTGAACATGTTGAAATGATATATAGAAATGGTCCATATGCCGATAACGATTGTAGACCTAATGTATTACCTCCCTTACAGAACTGAACTAAGGTCTTAAATCAACACCACCACATCATTTTGCTAACATCTTCGTCCTTTCGTCTCTGGTGGATACATTGGCAATCATACCACATCTCCTTATTTTAGAAAGCGATGCAATCCTTAAACTCCTTGTAACACAGTGTGAGTTTTGTTTTTCTGTTTCGATAAACCGGCTCTAATAAGTTCATAGTTCATGCTACTATCAATAATGAGTCAGGAAATATGTGTTTTTATTTATTTTTTCGTGATAATTTTGAATGTATCACACCTACTGTACATAGACGTCTTGACATACTGCCGACGGCCAGTTTTACAAATTAGGTAACATTTTAATAAGCGTGCACTGTAGAAAATTTATTGTACCTTGTGGTTGGTTTTGCACAACCTTCAAATGATCTTGAACATACAGTTTAACTTTGTCAATGACAAATACAAGTAATTTCTATACTAAGAAATTCGATAAAATTCGAGTATGCACTATACATGGTATTTATTTAAGTATATTTATGACCGCCTGTTGGACATGTTTCATGTTTACAATGCAGTTCGTATAAATATGTGACCGAGAGGTTTTGAACAGATATACCATGTTAAGGATCGGTACTTGCGAAAAATACCAACAGAGAGAAGTTAACAATTTCCTGAGCCCCTATACGAAATTCGACACTGATATATTACGTTTGCTGACTTTTTTATTCGTATACAAGTAGTGTAAATATACCGTCGATTTTTTTTTAATTTAATTTAATCGCTAAGTATGAAATATAACAACAATGCAGTTTGCGCAAAACGTTTCAACGGGTGTTTTATCAAAGCGCCTGCAACACAAAAATATGCCATTCATTATCACACAATAGAAACTTGACAATTTTATCATGGGATCGAGTTGTGAAACGTACATGATAATGTCCGGCTATTAACGTGATTTTTATAAGAACTAAGTAGGCCTTCAACATCTACAGTGACAATCGCAGGTTTAAATACGGGAATGATTTCACATTTTACACGCCACTGTTTGTTCAATTACTATTTTTATCTTATCCTACAATGCACCAATTGTGTTAACCTTTCCATAAACAGCAGTACTGAATTGCCTTTAGAATGGTCGATTTAAAACTTTCCTTCTATAATCAGACCTGCATTTCATTACACAAAAAATTCTTCGAGAAAAAAATACTCGTAAGTCATGAACATTTCAGTATAACATATCGTAAGGTTTTTTTTGTGAAAAGAACCTCTGACTTAATATTCGTTCTATAGTTGACAATAGAAAGAATACAGGTCATTTGTTTCCCATTTGCGAAAAAAAGCACGTTAAGACATATGAATAACAGCGATGCAAGTAAAAGTCAATAAGACAGCAAACCAACGATAACAGAAAGACAACAGAAATCAACAGTTCTACAGGCATTCCTTATATGAACTATTAAGACAGAAAACTTACCGAAGCACGTGCTTATCACTAAAATATTGAACTTGCAGTTTTTTCCTCTTTTATAGAATCATGGGATGATCGGTTTAACAAAACATTAGTATGTATGGAAACACTGATGTAGAGGTGACTCTTCATAGGGACAACTGATATAATTTTGCATAATGATTTAAAATTTGCCAACCGAGAAGTACCCGTCCTATATCTATTGAACTTTTATAAAGGGATTTATACAGGATGATAGTTGATTTTGTAGGACTAGATTGGTGGCCTTGAAACCAATTCGCCGTCATGCTCAAGGATACAGAACGTTTCCTGGTGAATCACAAATGAATTTTTAATCATTACAAGAATGTTGAAATAACTAAATTTTAGAGTATTATCATATCATATATGGATTACATTTTACAAACAGAGCAACTAGACCATTGAAAATTGAGTATTATCGAATATGAAATCACAATGCAATGAACTCTTCACTACAAGTTTTACTTGAGTGAAATCAATTGACAAAATAAAAGCTCCTTACATCCAAGCGAAAAATTTTACATGTAGAACTTGTGATATTGTTACCATGGTGTTATGTAGAATTTCTGACATGCTTACCATTGTCTTACATGTAACCATTTTTTTAATGATAGAATTTCTGAAATTCTAATCATTGTATTATTGGTAGAATTTCCGACATTCTTACCATTGTTTTACTGGTATAATTTAGATTTTCTGACAGTTTAGCCATTGTTTTACTAGTAGAATGATCTTGGATGATGAAATTTTAATGTTGTGTTTAAATTACATTTTTTGTATTAACAAACAAACATATCAGATTTCTGAAAGCTGTGGCTGCATAAAAAGGTGGGAAAAGGAAACAACTGAAGTAAAAATACTTGTCATGCTATTGCATGTACACCGAAACCTGTCTAAATCGAACCTCTTCGGGACTTAAGATTTTGTTCGGTTTTGGCAGATGCTTGGTTTCATCAATTTCACAACGCATATACAATTTGATATGACTGGGCTTAAGAACATGTTTTGGTTTAGCCAGGTTTCGATTTATTTAAGATTCGGTTTAGACAGGTTTCACTGTACATTGTTTACAATTTATAATATAACATATCAATTGATAATTTTACGTCAGAGAAAACAGAAAAATATTTTAAACATGCTATAGATAAAAAGGAAGATTGGTTATTTAACTCCATTGTTTATTTCCACTTGCAAGTCTGTGACACGTAACAATACAAAGTAGTGCACAATGTAAATGAAAATTCACACAAACACAATCACAATAATCAGGTCAAAGGTCAAGAATCCCCTGTTCTCAGCCTTAATGACCTTTTTAATGTAGGACCTCAATTCATATACGTTTGATGGTGGGCGTTAAGTGATACAGTCAGTATAGTAAATTATCCTTTCTGTGGTAGAAAAACTGGGGGCCTTGATCAGAAATGGGTTTTCTACAAATGAGCTGAGTCGGATAGTAATCGACCTTATGCAAGTGCACGTATACAAAAGTCATGTACATGTATAATACTTTGATTGATTTTGGAACATTCAAATACGAAACAAAAGATGAATTTTGATCTGTTTTTAATGGTTCTTGTAACAACTCAATTCAAGTTTCAAAAAATTGATTTATTTTTCAAACCAAAATAGGTTAACAAATGTATTGATATTCATTTGCATAAGGTCGATTTCTATCCGATTAATCATTAAGAGGGATGTCGATAATTTATTACTGTTCCACACGAAAAGGTAGGGAAGGTAGTTCAAGTCTACATTTCGTACATTTTTACATCATTTAAAAAAAAAACCAGAAGAAAAAGGTCCAACCAGGATACACCACCCTTGCAATGTAGGTTTCTCAGTATAAATATGAGTGATAGGAACTAACTTTTTATTTAATGTCATATACAATAAGCTTCATTTTTATAGATTCAGTTATTTTACGGTTAATTGGAATAAATTCTATACATTTTGCCTTGTTCGAGATATATCTAAATAACTGAATTAGTATTTTCATAATACATTTGTCCGTCAAACGAAGGAGTGGGTACTGGTGTGATTTGATATCATTTTCTGATTCAAACCACAACCTATATAAATCCAATTATGCTTTCAAACATTTATTTCCTGACTCACAAACTGATTACCGACTATAACGTCTCCAAACTTCTATGTTTCTACTAAATATTAATGTACACAAAATATTTATTAATTCAAATAAATCATTTACTGTCCAAACCTTAAATTTTACACCTTTATTATCCTAAACAGATATTCTCACCAATCTTATACTTGAATCAAATCAGTTATCATTAATATGAGAATTTTTTTTCTTTCTATGATTTACGTCACATATTGGAAGAAACTAGGCCTTTTATAGCCGACTATACGGTATGGGCTTTTCTCATTGTTGAAGACCGTACGGTTGCCTATGATTGCTTACATCCACTTCATTTGAATAGTTGTCTCATTGGCAATCATACCACATTTCCTTATTTTTATCTATGATATACCTTTCTAAAAGGCCGTATATAGTATTTATAAATACAATGTTCGTTTAATTCTTTCACGCCTGATTCTTATGTTTTTTTAAAGAATTCCGAATGTATAACCGAGCAATTCAAGACTAAAAACTACGTACCCTGGTCATCTTGCTGTTTACTTTTTTTTTAATTAGTTTTATTACTTCCTCTACTGATTGGTTATGTGTTCTACACTATTGGTTATGTGTTCTACACTATAGAGGAGACCGTTTACCAAGAATTTCACACAAGATTGTTTGGCTTTTCACATCCTGCAGCATTTTGATTACATCTGTCATATTTCCTTTTGTTCAAATATGGCAATATGACAATTAATCGCATTAATAAATAGTGCTATCATACTGGAACAAATGACTGTTGCATGATTGAGTTAATGTGTAGAAGTTTTACGATTAACGTGGTTTTTTTTTAACTGTTGTTTAGCTACTAATACAGTGTTGATTTCTTGTAAAAAGTAATATAACTATACACTTGTTTCATTACACTTATAATAACTTACAACTTAAATTTTGTCTTTCGTATGGCCACGCGCGGACCCCTCATAGAGTTGTTACAAAAGTTTTTTAACGTACAGAGAATGTGGCACTCACACTACACGGGGGCATCGGAATTAAAGTCCCCATTCCGCCCTAACAGTCGTGTTAAAGTATACGTTCAGTCTCAGGTCTAGGATAACAGACTGGTCGACGATTAAAGTATTTTTTTGCATTTTTGGATTCAATTAATTAACAAAATTATTGCCCGGTCACGATTGAAATGTTTATTTATTTATATATGTAATTACGCTGTACTTATTTATGAATGAATTTAAAAGCAGTCTTGTAGAACCAAGTATATACAAAAGGGTATTTAAATTTCATATTATTCTTTCTTGTTTATAAATAGAGAGAAGCGGTCTTTTCGCATTTATCCAAAGCACGATCACGCACTGTTTGACGTAAAAGGGATGAAATAAAAGTAGTTTAAAAAAATTCTATCGTCGGTAATCTGTTATATCTTATTTTTTTCTATTTTTTGTCATTACAATTTGTTTTCCTATATTTTGAAAAAATGATTTATAAAAATATTTGTTTACATTAGAAATAAAAATCCTTTTTTTTTATTTTATTTTTTTTTTTACTCCACGTGGATTTACTTATTAGATTTCCGTTATTTTACTTTCGGCTTGTATATCATAATAAAGTCTCTTACCTGGACAGGTAAAATTTCCTTAAGTCTTACTCCAAAATGAACACTATGTAAAAGAATTAAATTATGAACATAATTACTTTTATATATCTCTCATTAAGACACATAAGACCATTTATCTACCTGAATGTCACATTGTCAAGGTGTATATTTATATTTATATATAGGTCACCTGACCAAGAAATTTGTCACATGACAAAATTTAAATTTTTACCATATATTTAGTTTTATTGTAGCCTAGGTTTTTATTATTTTCATCTTGTGATAGACAGGTTACCACCAAAACGTGTATATTAAAACTAGTTTTATCTAACAGATATATAGTTAAACTGGTTTTGTCTAACAAATATAATAGTTAAACTTGTTTATACACATGAAATAATAGTTTAGTTAGAGAATAAAAAAGTGTTTAATTTATATGTTAAACTACTTAAAGGCACGTTTTAAAACAGTTTTATATGTTGATTCAATGTTATAATGTGACGGTATCTTTCTATACATGGATTTATTCTTCAGTTTTGAAATTACATGCATACAATGTATATGTATAAGACTCTAAAATATGGAACTTAACTGAATATTCTTAGAGGAAACCATCGCCAGTACAATGAATTCAGTATGTATCTTGCCGCTGTCCGGAGACTTCTTATATGACATATGTAGCAATAAGAAGATGGGGTATGATTGGCAATGAGACAACTCTCCATTAGAGACCAAACGACCATAGAAGTTGTTCATTTCTATACAACTAGACGTGAACCGTATATTTGGTTAGTCTCTTTTCTTACTTTGTAATAACTTTGAAATGTCAAACACCAGAGTCGAAAGATACCATAGGGGTATTCAAACTCACAATTCGAAAACAAACTGACAATGCCATGACAAACAACAGTACACAAAACACAGCATAGAAACCTAAACTAAAGACTGAGCAACACGAACCCCACCAAAACCGGGGGTGATCTCAGGTGCTCTCAATAGTAAGCAGATTCTGCTCCACATGCATGTGGCACCCGTCCAAGTGATATTTTTTCATGGATAAAGATATTAGAAGATGTGGTATGGATTGCCAATGAGACAAATATCCACCAGTGACCTAAGGCCGAGGATGCAAACAACTGTGAGCCGGAACACTGTACGATTTTCAACAATGAACAAAACCATGCAGAATTGCCTAGTCAGCTATAAAAGGCCACGGTATGACAAAATGTGAAAACATTCGAAATGGAAACCCAACCGCTTGATTTATGCTAAAACAACAAATGAAAAAGAAACAAGACAGACACCAACCAACGACAACCACATACACAACAAACACGCCGCTGACGGGTTTAAATCATCCCGGCATTCCAACGTAGACTCCTTTGAAATATAAGGCAAGAGAGGGATATGGGGTGAAAATGTCATGATATGATTTCAATTGGTGTATCTTCTTGAAGTAGGGTATCATATTCCCTTCTAGAATATCTGATATTTTGACAGTAAGCTGAAGATCGAAAAGCAATGTTATAAAAAAAAGTATAGCAAAAATACCGTACTCCAAGGTAAATTCAAACTAGAGGCTCTAAAGAGCCGTGTTGCTCACCTAGGTCTATGTGCATATTCAACCAAGAACACTCTCCAACATTGTAGACGAGAATAGAATTCATGACACAAATCTTGTACTGCTGATCGTTTTGTCTGTTTAGTTTCTCTCTATCTTCTTTAATTTTTGCTCAAAACACAAAAGAGGGTAAAAAATCTTCATTTAAGGGCAATCACTCTAATAAAGAGTGACAATCTACTAATCGGCAAAATTGACTTATTTGTAGATCTTGCCTTGCTGGTCATTTTTGTTATCTAAAGTTTCTATTTATCTATTATAATCTTTATCATATAAGGCAAAATGCAAAAAAAAAAAAATGATAAAAATCGTCATGAAAGGGCAATAACTTTAATAAGCAGACTTATTTGTTGATCTTGTCTTGCTAATCATTTTTGCAGTACAATGTTTCAAGATATAGGGAAAATATTTAAAAAAAGTAAAAAATTGTCATTTAAGGGCAATAACTCCTATAAGAAGTCACCTGACAATTTCAACGTAATTAGACAATTGGAAGAGCTCAACATTCTGTACATTTTGCCCCAGTCAGATTTTCTCTTTTTTTTATCGGTTTTCAAAATAATAGACAAAACTTGCATTTTACCCCTATGTTCTATTTTTAGCCATGCCGGTCATCTTGGTTGGCAGGCAGAGTCATCGGACACATTTTTAAACTAGATACCCCAATGATAATTGTGGCCAAAATTGGTTAAATTTGGTCGAGTAGTTTCAGAGGAGAAGATTTTTGTAAAAGTTAACGGACGACGGACGACGACGAGGACGCCGACGAGGACGACGGACGATGAACGCCAAGTGATGAGAAAGGCTCACTTGGCCTTTTGGGCCAGGTGAGCTAAAAATGGGAAGTCCATAAAAATTGACACAATCAAACGTTATCGACCGATTGAACGAGTGAAAAACATCGGTCATATTACTGACATGCATAAATCATCAACACAGAGAGAGAGACGTAAACCGTTTCAAATATAAGGAAAGAAAAGGATATGGGATTAGACGTCATGATATGATTTCAGTTCATGATTTTGGTACATGCACTTTCCGAGAGAAAAAAATGGTGGGTTAAACCTAGTTTTCTAGCTCACTTGTATGACAGTTCCGTTATATTGACAAAATTTGGTGATCAACACAAACAGACATAACAGGTTAAGGTGACAACAATTGGATCCAGCAACCAAAACTTTGTAAACATACATCACATAAATACAACACAACCGACTAAAACATTCCAAAAAGATATTAATAAATCTAACAAAGACGGACTATCAAAGATCTGTCATTAATCAACCTTTAAAGGTCAAATTATTTGTTTGTGTCAAATTCACTATCAACCACAGCAACGTTTTTGTTGGTCGTTTAGATTTATTTTCTTCATTCCGTGTATAGACACTCTATTGTTGATGACCGAATGTTGACCACAACATATCTCTTGTTGATTTTTTTAGTGTTATTACGTGCTTTCGTATTGACCTACAATTAACTTTAACCTCTCCCATCTTACAGTAAAACCTATAAAGAAACAGAGCAGTCGTTTAACTTTAAGATTGTACACAACTATATAGGACACTGTACATCAAGAAAGAGCAAAACCAGAATCGCATAGTGACATATAAAAGGTCCCGGTCCCAAGTAACTCGCCTGTAATTCAGAGGTTCATTTCTGTCTATTAGGTATTTCGTAAATTGTTTTGTTATAAATTCGGCAGTTTGTTTTTCTTGTTATTTCATATTTTTCATATCAGGGCCTTTCATAGCTGACTATACGGAAAGTGTTTTTCTTGTTGTCGAAGGCTGTACAGCGAATGACCTATAGTTCATTATGTTCACGACATTGAACTATGGTGGATATTTGTCTCATTGGCAATCATACCACATCTAGAGCTCCTTATTTGTTTATTTAAGATCGAATAAATTTATCAATTAAAAACCTAAGCCCGGGGCCTCGGTGGCCGAGTGGTCTAAGTAGTTACTACTCTAATCACTAGCCAGTCAACTATGAGGTTGTGAGATCGAACCCCGCTGACTAGGATTGTCAGTTTTCGTATCGAAGGTCGTTGGTTTTCTCCGGGCACTCCGGCTTCTTCAACTGGCCGCCACGAAATAGCCCAAAAGCGGTGCTTAAAAGTGGCGTTAAAAACACAAAAAATCCAATCAAATCAAAAGCACCAATAGGTAAATAAAGGTAGTTCCTTATAGTTTAGGAGCTCTATAAACAACAACACCGTAAAATTAGGGTGTAATACCAGTATCCCTTTTTCAATACAATTTCTACATTTCTAAAGTCTCATTTAAATCATAATATAAATAAGTGTTTTCACGCCTGTTATTTCCTTATAATGCCATTATATTTAAACCTAAAACGCCCGAAAATCAAAACAGATTATCATCTGCTATTTTTCAGTGATATTTTGAAAAATATAGAACAGATGCATGTTAGAACTATAAATATTCTTGTACAAATATGCATCTTAAAATCAAGGAATATTCTTCAAAAAGTTTTGTTTCACAAACGTACCTGCTCTTTCTCTTTTGCATCTGTCTATCATATTATTGTAAAATTATTATTCGATTTTATGCATAAATTTTGAGGAATAATGTCTAGCATATATGTAAACAACGGGAATGAAATATATGAACTATGCAAGATGAAATATGAATTCTTATAATCATAAACCACTTCAACAACCCTTTACCGTAACTTTCTATTAGGCGGACCTACATTAAATGTACACCACATTTATCAAGTGTATGTATACATAAAATTGAGAATGGAAATGGGGAATGTGTCAAAGAGACAACAACCCGACCATAGAACAGACAACAGCAGAAGGTCACCAACAGGTCTTCAATGCAGCGAGAAATTCCCGCACCCGGAGGCGTCCTTCAGCTGGCCCCTAAACAAATATATATACTAGTTCAGTGATAATGAACGCCATACTAAACTCCAAATTGTACACAAGAAACTAAAATTAAAAATAATACAAGACTGACAAAGGCTAGAGGCTCCTGACTTGGGACAGGCGCAAAAATGCGGCGGGGTTAAACATGTTTATGAGATCTCAACCCTCCCCCTATACCTCTAGCCAATGTAGAAAAGTAAACGCATAACAATACGCACATTAAAATTCAGTTCAAGAGAAGTCCGAGTCTGATGTCAGAAGATGTAACCAAAGAAAATAAACAAAATGACAATAATACATAAATAACAACAGACTACTAGCAGTTAACTGACATGCCAGCTCCAGACTTCAATTAAACTGATTGAAAGATTATGTCTTCATCATATGAATATCAGGCACAATCCTTCCCGTTAGGGGTTTAGTATCATACCATCATAACATATATGAGAAGAACATAACCCGTGTCATGCCAACAACTGGTTTTTAAATAAATGTGTTTAGTGCCGATGCAAAGACCCTATAAGTGAATCAATATTAACGCCAAAATATGCAATCTTTAATGACCTGACAACAGTATCGTAACTATATCCCTTCTTAATAAGTCTATTTAAAGGTTTTGTTAGCTTCAGAGGTGAATACTGACATTTTTGTGCTTTATAAAGAATAT